AACAGCCGCACTCCGCTCACGAATAACCCATGAAGGTTTTTTTTTGCATTTCTTTTCCTCGTCTACAGTGGCTCAAAAGCACTTACAGACGGATCCAGGGGGAGGGAGGTGATGGGTCTTTCGCTCTCCACTCGCCAGCCTCTTGCAGCGGTACATTCACCAGTGCCACAAAAGTGTGAGTCTAAAGCTAAAACTGAACAAAACTCTCTTTCACATCCCCCGTCGCACCCCCCATTAAGGTGTCCCACTTCCTCCTCGCCCTCCTCCCAATCATCGTGACATCAGGAGCTCCATTGTTGCCTACCCCCTCCTTCCACTCCCCCCCTCATCGCCGCGCCAGGAAGCCCACTCCCCTCTCCTACTTGTCGCCACCTCCCCAAGGAGCACCTCCTGGATTCGCCTATGGGAACACTTGTCTTTAAAGTCAGGTCCAGGTAGGTAAGCGGCGGAGCCTCATATGCACACAAATTTAATAACTAAGGCAGTGAGGGAGGTGCTGCAAGAAAGTGAACTCGGAAATTCTGTACAAACTGTAACAGTGAACTGCAGCACTTCCAGCAGCACAGCGCAACTTAATGAACAGAAAAGAGGATTCAAATAACATGCCTCAGAAGGAAAATCCGCAGGGTGGAAGTATTTGACGGTGAGGCAGGATCCCAATCCCAGCACCCAAGTAAGAATCAAATTTAGTCCAGAACCATTCAGTGCCTGAAAATGGCAATTCAAGCGCGGGCCGCAAGCCCATTTTAGCAAATTTACGGAAAAAATCTGAAAATATAGTAGTAGTGTACGAAAGAAGCGTCCTCATCATGCATGTCAGTGCAGGAAAAACAGATCAGAAAGCGTTACCTAAAAAAAATCAGTCATCAAGCCGCGGCCTTTTACTTTCAACAGATTTATCACTTTTAAGACTGGCGCTGGAGTTCCGGGCTGTTCGACATTCTTCTTCTTCGGCAAGTGACTGCGTTATTGAAGAGGCGCTGTAGCGCTCATACTGCAACGTTATATGTATTTTCGCCTTCTATACTTCAAGTTGGACTAACAGAAACGCTCAGTAATGAACACTAAACCAAAAAATAAATAAATTACCTGGGATAAATCCCATAAATCCTCAATATCCCATTTCTCAAAGTGCTCCGCTCCTGAGCAATTTCGATTCGAACGACGTGAGGTGCTTTTTTCCCGTAATTTTTTTGGGCAGACGGTATCACGGCTGGTACTAGATGAGCACCCATCCATAGTGAATAATTCCACAAGTTGTTCCGTGGCCATTGTATGCAGCGAGCGATTATCCGCACCAACTAGTGCCTATAATAAAACAGCTTAAAATGATTTATAATTGAATGAAGTTCAAAAATTCACTATGAAGATCCTCAAGGTTGCCCGGATCACCCAGCAAGAGAGGCTCTAGAGGCCGGCATATCATTTAAACGACATGTCACATCTACCGGCTGGTAGCAAAGGTGGATAGGTGATCTAGTCAACGGATTTTACTTGCCCTGGCGGGTTCGATATTATGCAAATTTTGGCCGTGACATTAAACATAGTGAGGCTTGGTACATTACCATACGGTGCCAACTTTGTCAATGCTGAGAGCGATTTCACTAGAAACCGATCTCATTTTGCCGACTTGCACAAAGAAAACTGCTTCGTTGGATAACAGTGCAGCTGTTAGCCACTGACTTGTGAGGTACATCGACTCGAATACATTTTTTCTCAGAACATACCTTTGTTAACCAATATCACCGGACCATGATACGATTTTTGTAAAATTAATAAAAGAATACAAAGAAATGACAAAAATGAGCACTAACTTTAGCTGTATCTGTCTTGAACTTCTGCAGTCGAACGATGTTTTGTTCGACAGAATCCTCTGTGATAAGCCTGTAAACGTTTACAGTACACTTCTGTCCAATGCGATGGGCACGATCCATCGCTTGTAAATCTTTCACTGGGTTCCAGTCGTGCTCCATGAAAATCACAATGTCAGCTCCAGTTAAATTAAGTCCTTCACCGCCTATCTGCAAAAATCGTGCGAATTTGTGACGTAAACAAAGTTAACTTCATAACGTTAGCGAAAAACTGGTACAAACAGTTGCAGAAAAAATTAATATTGCGGAAGTATTAGCAGGCCACTATGGTGCTCCGCAACAAAACTGCAAGCCTTTTTTTCTTAAACTGCGTCAGCCCCTGAAAGAAAAACCTCGGTATCACCGTGCCATACCCAAGGAAGACAGCAGAAACAGAGGGAAGGAACGAAAGAGAAGGAAGGATGAAACGGACGTTGTGCAGGAACGACCTCAACAGTTAGAACTGCACAGGACTGAACCCGGCAGAAAAGAAGTAAAATTCAGTCGCGCAGGGATTACAAATAGCAAGAAGGTGCTGATTTGCAAAGCAAAACCCAGGCTGGAACGCACCAGACTTGCCGGTTAAATCATGCGTTTTTGCGCCAAACTTGCAGATCGCTAACAGCAGGAATGGTCCCTATGCTGCAGTTTAATACTTGGACTCATACTGGCTGTGTTTCGGCCACTTTCCGCATGCACAGGAAAAGAGTATCGGCTGGGAAGAAGGTGTTGCAATATGGAGCCGCATGGACTTCCAGCCTACATGATTGTCAGTTTTTTGCATGACGACCGGTCGTTTTCCCGATAAATGCTCGTTTACTGAAAAAATGCAAATTTGGAGGAAGTCGAAAGAGGATTCTGAAATCTGCAAAGCGCACTCTTTTTTGAGTTTTCGATAAAATTGAATATTTCTCATACCCACTTGCAGGGAATTTTACCTCCAAACTGACTACATATGAAAGTTGAAAGTCCCAGCGAAATCTGAGCCTCGCATCTTATCCGATAAGCTAGACAGCCATTTCGCCACAGCTATCTTTGAGGTGCCCTAAGTCGTAGCGCAAGCGCAAATCGGAAATCAATTTAGATATACGATTTCCCATATGGACGATAAATATCCTGACAAAATTTCAGTCACTGCTTTCCGGGTAGTTTTCGAGTTACCACAGTGGCAAGTGTTAACTGTGACGTGACCGTACGCGCTGCATAAGCGTGCGCAATGGTTGACTTTGAAATCTTCAACTCACACAAGCACATAGAATATCCTTGTAAAGTTTCAACTTCCTATCTTACCTGGTTCCCAAAATTGTTTCTCACCAATGAAATTTGCACATTTTCTGGGGTCCGTACGCGAGATCTAGGTGCATGTAAGCGATAACTTTGAAACGGGGAGGTGACACATGAGGTGGGAATATGTCCCCAAAATTTCAACCTTTCGGTTTTCCTGGTCGCCCAGTTGAACGTGAGTGACAAAGCTCACTCGCTT